GTGTAGTGGTATGTGAGTCAACATTAGTTGCACCTTAAACCTGTGCTGGTGTATAACTGTGCATGACATTCATTGTCCAGTAGCAGCAGATGGATATGTGTCAAAGTACCATGAAGATTAGTGATCCCAAAAACTACTTATAAACTTCTAGTGGTGACTAATACATGTACTAGGGTTATATTCACTATGGAAATGTGATTGACAAGACCTGCTGATGTTAATATGAACCACATGATCATAGAAGAACATATATCCCTCATTCTTTTGTTCATTTCTGGTTGTTACATGCTTTTATTTTTGAGCTGGGCTAATGCCATGTTTTCTATGAGTCAGAAGCAGGAATATAATATAACTAATCCCTGCATATAAGGTAGCCTAACATATGACAAATTGCTCATTGAAAAACAACAAAAAAAGAAGTCATGTCATTAAGATAATCTATATTACTATAATACTAGCAAATTTCTATATAGCCCCATATCAGCACATTGTATTAAGCTCTTAAATGTTTTCTATAAATAGACTATGAACCAGGATAAATTACTCCTAGAATAGCGCAAAATATGAGCACAAATGTGCATTTGCTGAAGTGTGGGCTATCATATTAAACATGATAGTTTCTCAAAATGTTTAATTTTTACAAAGTCAAAAATACAATTGTATAATTCAGATGGATGCTATGTTATTACAGTATGGTTTGTTGATGATATTGTGTGCATATTTTAGAATTTCAATTAATGATAACCAAAACAGATATATTTCTATAGAGTTCATTTTTATTTCAAGAGAATTAGGCAATGCTCTATTTTCTCTCTTAAAGAGCCGGGACAGCTACTTGCATTCTTCTATGCAAATAAAGTGCTCTTTTTTTTCCCCTTTACCAATGCCTTCAGCAGAATTTTTTTCATGCTCGTTAGGTGATTCAGTGATCACTTTCTTAGCTACAATCAGACTTGACAAAACATTAACAACGAAAGCAGAAAGCACTGGGCTTCACTTGTAGCTTGGAAAATGTATCAGCGCTATGGTATAGCCAAACTATCCTTTGTTAGGCGAGTAAAACACGATTTGGCTGAGAGTTTGGAAAAAATTCAGTCATTTGTTGCCCCAGTACCCCCCCACACTTTGATAGTAATAAGTATGCATGGTACAATCTGATATAAATAAATAAATAGTGAAAGGGAGGTGGAGTGGGGTGGAAAGACAAAGAATAGATTGTTCGAAGTCCAAAAAAAAAAAAAAATGGATACTTACTTGTAGAAGACAAGTAAAAGATAGTAAGTGTAACTACAGCAACCATCCTGAAGACTGGAGAAATTTTCAGATGAAAGCCAAGAGATTCCAAGAGTCAGTAGATGTCTCATTCTTAAGGGTGAACAACATAAGGTCAATTTTGGGTAATTCTATCACTCCACAATGCATACAGTTCAATGTGTGACAAATCCTGGCATTGGTTTATGCTATAAAATGAAGAATAAAGAGATAAATTTGTACTCAGGTTTTAGAACCTTTGAGGAATAAACATAATGCCATGTTGCTTATTAAATGTGGAAAACATAAAATGACAACTGTCTCACTAAAAACACCTGGATATAATGACTGGTGATTCCAATACTGATAAATTCATATATTGATGATGAGTCATCTCAAGATGTTTTAGTGGAGAGGGAAGTCAGAAAACAAGTATAAACACTGGAAATTACATTTTGCAATGAAAGAATTAAAGAAAAAGTCAGGGGATATGGATAGAGTATTTACAAGAGAGTAAAGAATTTATCAACTGTGAAGGAAAATTCATAAACAATCAAGATCTGATGCTTTAAGTATAAAAATGAGGATTTAGATCAATTTATAATTTATTCATTTTCAAAAATTTCTGCAGCAAAATTTTAATTTCAGACTATCTTTGTCCTGCTACTTAATACTGTATTTCTCAGCTTTCCTGACTTTCTCAAGTTCATTTGAGATCATTCTGTTTAAAAATCAGAATAGGCAAAAACATTAAAGTATGTCTGCTGGATTTTTTTGATGTCCACTACATTGTAATCTTTGGTCTTTCCCCTTATAGTGAGGTTTATCAGTCAAATGCTAAATAAAATGGTTTAGAAAAATAAAATGCTGGACTCAGTATATCTGGAACTATAGTGTATTGTTAGCTGTATTGTTGATTTTGGTACTTGCAAACAAAAAAAATCATAACCAAGTTGAACTTGTTTCCTTTCCAATGGAATGAGGATATCCTAAGATTTCCCTGAGTATTTTGAGAGGGAATTGGATGAAGCCAATTGATAATTTGTGCACATTATTGTAAAAAAGGACATGAGAACTCATACATATTCTGATTGCATTATTCATAGTGAAAAAGACTGTTTTAGAGTAATCAGAATGGTAACAGGATCAAGAACAACACATCGCAGCAAAAGGTAAAACAGGTTATGTAGAGAAGGGAAGGGAAAGAAGAAAAGGGTTGGTGCAGCGAAAGGAGATGAAAGGAAATATAAAGGAATTGTATGACAGAATGAGAAAAATCAAGGAAAGAAGTAGGAAAGTGGAAGTAGGAAAGAAATAGGAAAGTAGGAAAGAAGTAGAAAAGTGGAAAAAAGATTCTTCATTCCTTGGGCTGGGATATTCCATGTACCCACGTTCACTACTCGAATGGCTAAAAGCCCTGGTCTCTCCATCCTACTTTTAATAGGGTGTGTTAGAGTTGGAGACTCCTTTACCATTTATAAAAATTTTGTCCTTGGTCAGGGTCTTTACAACTTTTCTGTCTACCAAACCAGAACCAATACTTGGCCCTGATATCTGAAATCTTGTTATTCCCTCTTAATTCTTCTATTTCCAAATGAAGGTTTTAATAAGCAGTTCAGGCAGGGCCAGGAATTCTGATTTCAGCTTTATTAAAATGATAACACGTTTTAATAAAGGGAGGATGACCCCTCCCTTTTAGTTACAGGCTTACCGAAGGCGTAGTGGAGCTCAGCACCAACACCTTTATTTTGCTTCCTTTATACCTTTGGTTCTTCCTAGAACATTTAAAAGTCTTGTTTCTTCACAGGTGTTCCCATTAGTCTTGGTGATCAGGTTTACATAGCTCTTCCAATGGTTTCTGGAACAAACAACTAAACACCAGTATGGGCATTATCTGTTTATTCTGCTGCAAGGGGCTTGTCTTGCTTGATAAATTTCAAGTTAAAAGTTGTTGGTCTGATGCATGACATAATCTGAGATTATAAAGCAGTAGGAATGATAGGGGAAAAAAGTTTAATATTTTGAGACCGAGCATACCTTTGGATCGCTCTCTACTTTTACCCATTTTATATGGAATTATGGATGTCTGAATCACTTTGTCAGTTTCTCCCATTTCTCCATCATGGTAGTTCATGAAAACACACCCATTATGTACTGATAGCAAAATTCAATTCACCAGATGTTAGTCTTGTGGGAACATCTACTGAGAAGTTAAAAGAATACACTGGGAACTTTCAGTAGGACTATTAACAAAAACAAACACACACAAAAAAGGCTTTGTTGGAATTTAGGACGTCCAAGTAACAGGAGGCAGAGTAACAGGAGGTAGATCTCGAAAATGCTAAGTAGTAGCAGGAATTGAAGTTATGAAAGAGTTAAATGAAATTCCTTCAGGTGGCTCAGACCTCAAAAAAGCGCTTTGTTTTGAGCATACTGATAAAGTCTTACAAACATATCAAATTTCATTTCTGACTTTTTCTATGAAAAAATCAAAAGCTGATGCCTTGTTTTGTTTGTTTTAGTATTTTTTTCATTTGCTTCTTTTTGGTACAATATAACAGAAGTTGATGTTTCTTGGTGATCATGAAGGGATGCTTCATAAACTTAATATTACTGTAATTTGGTAAATTTATTCTTTTTGCTTTAGTTTCCTCAATTCCCTCTCCAAAATTAGGTGAATATAGTCAAAAAAGTAAAATTTCAATTGAATTTGTAATATTTTCCATTCTTTGTGTTATTTAAATGTAGAATAATTATTAGAGAATGTGACAAATATTCATGAAATTCTGGAAATACACACCAGTAAAGAAAAACTGAGAGCTAATGTAAATGTGATGGCAGATTTCAAATTGCCATGGGAGATGAGCAGATTTCAAATTGCCATGGGAGATAAAGTTACATTAAATATCCGGGATCATATGTGCCCTTTTACATTTTTGGTTCTGAAGATAGCTGTAATGGAACAAATCTCTTAAAGCAAAACATGAACTGTATTGTAAAATCTGAAAAATGAGGTTCGTGTTCACACAGTGACAGTACACCAGGAAGCAGGACTGGACGCTAAATTTAAAATTCAGTGCTTATAATTTACATAATGTGGGATTATAAAGCAGTAGAAATGATAGGAAGTAAAAGCAGGACTAATATTTACTTTTCTCAGACTTGTTGTATCTTTGAATCTCTCCCTACTTTTATCCATTTTTATACAGAATACTAGATGTCCGAATCACTTTATCACATCCATTTCCCCCACTTATCTTATGTCATTGAACCATCTCTGTGACTTAAATCCTTAATATTTTCTTGGTTTGATTTCTAGGAAATGCTGGTTTCTAGTAATTCCTGTCCACTACGTGGACCACCTGTATAATCACTGTGTATTTTGGAACAAGCCACACTTCTATTTCCTTGGTTCCCACCTCTTCTATAAAAAGGGTTTAGATAGAGATACCTCTTATATTGGTTATAAAGGTAAAATAAATGTATATAAAAACTCTCTGATGAACAGAGATACCATCCTTAACAAGCCATGGAATCCTATGTTCTCTACTCTGGTGGACTTCACATAATGATGAAGACTGAGCAATGACTGAGATTAAAACTGTTGAGACCACACGTACCGAACGCCTGGGACAGGAAATGTGACATATACATAATGGCAAATAGAATTTAAATAAGCCTGGCTAGTCAATGTGCAGTCCTGTTCAGCCTGGGGAAGTGTGCTTATATACAGGATTTTCACCAGAAAGTTTTTATAGCAAACTTTTGTTTTGTCAGAAGTTTATTTTATTGGTAAAATATTAAATAATATACAGAATTAAAAACTGCACTTACACTTCTGAGAAGAAATAAATCTTGGACAAATTATATGCTTGTTCCTGAGATTCCCTAAATTTATTCCAGTAGCTGTGCACTCAAGACAGTACAAACCTTTATAATATAATCCTTTTCACAAAGTATTACAAAGTTTCTGCAGCTTCTTTAGTGTACACACACACAGACACACACTCACACATGCATGTACAACACTCATACACATATACACAGTACCCACATATATGCACAGAGCATGTATGTGTGTGCATTAAAAACAAAATACAAGTCCCACATTTCAGTCTGCAGTGATAAACGGTTTAGCCAAGGTCTCCCAATCAGTATGTAGCAGAGTGACTTGCCACCAACCTGCAAAGACTGTTTCAGTATTTCCATAGTAAACCCCATTTTCTGAGGTATGGTATTTGAGCCTTAAAAAAACTACATTACACTGAGCAAACCTGACATACAAGGTCTGGAATTTTAATTTTACATACATTTATATTTATATATATATATATATGCTTTCTTTTTTAAACAATAGTTTGTATCTCCTCAAATTATTAGTTTGAAAAAAATGAGGTTTACTGGTTTGACCTTTTTTTCATTTTGCTTCTAAAACTCAAAACATCCTAAGAACTGACAAGCAATTAGTCTTTAAAATAGTCTAATCACCTTTGGTATTGTTAAAGAAAAAATATTTTAAATGGCCAGGACATAAACTGTACAAAGCAGTAACTGCCTTTCAAAGAAATGCTGAAGAAATGTTATTTTTTTTAAACAAAACATATATTTACATTACAGCAGTTTTACTACAGGAACATAGGTATAAAAAAAAGAAAACCAGCATACTACATATAAATATGTATGATATGAAAAATACCTCTTAAACTTGTTATGAAAACAGGGATGCTCTAAATATTTAAAAATTTTTATCTCCAACAGGTGATATGTGTTTAAAATTGACCTAAGTGCTTTGTTTTTATTTAAAAGTTCATTTCCAAAATGAGAGAAATGAATAAAGATACTAAATATTAGTTTCTTCACTTAGAGCATTAGTTAAAGATCTAAGAGGAAAATGCAGTCTTCCAGAATTTCGACATTAAGATACATTTCTGAGGCAAAGGATAACTAATTTCAATGGAAATTTAGCCTAACTAAAGACCATGAGGTCATACCAGTGGTTTCTACACTCTCTCATCTTTTGATTGTTAAGTGTTTCTCTCTTTGCTTGTTGTGTCCTTTTAAAAGGCTCTGATTTCCAAGGTAGAGTGTGTGTGTGTGTGTGTGTGTGTGTGTGTGTGTGTGTGTGTGTGTGTGTGAGTGATTAACAAAAGAAAGACTAGGTCGGAAAAGAAGAAAACATCACCATACTTTTTAAGACTTCAAGGGGAGTATTGCACTTGTACAAAAAGAGAATACCCTTTTTAACTAAAAAGCAGGAGCAATCATTCTGAGGTTGCAAATAACACATGGTCTAAAAGGTCCAACTATTAAGAGCAATTATGGGGCCTGGGACCCCCTCTGAACCTGGAATATTATTATAGTAATGTTAAAGCACTTTTCTCCCAACTGGGAGAAAGTTAAGACTCTTCATTTTATGTTTTTAACATCTTTCTAAAAACTTACAAAAAATCATCTAGTCTCTCATGATTTACATTTTCAGAGAAAAGCCAAACAAGAATGTAAAATTCAACAAAAAAGGAAGGCAAACATCTGGAGCCGTGTTTTAGGTACCCAATACTTAAGAGTGAAAGTTACACAAGGGTTATGCAGCTTACTATTTTCAATCTGACCACTTTTCTCTTTAATATAAAACTACACTTGAGTATAAAAATATACCAGATTATACAGCAACAAAAATCACCAAAAATTAAGACTTAAGAGATTGATGAATTGCAAGTTAGAGCTGACCTTATTTAATCCTCAAACTAGAAGGAGGGAAGAGAGGTAAAGACTTCCAGAGATGAGGATGGAAGGGAGATGAACAGAGAGGAAAGAAAGAGGTGCTGGGGAGTTACATGTAAGGAGAAATGATTTATGCTCAAGATCCAAGAGTGCTTGAGGGTCAAATGTGTTAAATCACAGTTTCAGAAATGGAGCTACTCTAAGAAAATAACAAAAAACAAAACTGGATTCCTTCTCTTGTTACAGTGTACTTGTTTTTGTTTTAAAAATCCATTTCCAGTAGATTAAGTTATGTGAAATCCTGCTAAGTGCATAGTAGGGGATTTGGTGACCTTCACCTGTCCAAGAAGTGCTTCTTACTGTGTCACTTGAGGTAATCTGAAGGCCCAGTTCACTGCAAACTGGTTTTATTTGTACCTACATGAAGCTATGTGCCATACTTTATGTGATTTAGCACAGGGCCTCTAAATTTTATATTTTATTCACACTAAAAAGGACATCTTAGAAAACTAGTCATTGATGTACCACTCTCTGTTTGGGATAAAGGGTAATTCACAACAAATTTATACAGAAAATGTACAAATGCAATGTTATGGGAGATAAACCCAATAAACATAAATGTGAACTTATTTCTAAGAGTGCATGTGAAAATATCCACAAACTTACAGTACAGCAAAATAAGACTAAAAAGCTAGAAACAGAATGTTATATAAAAACCTTAGAGAAGTTCCAAAAATTTAGGTCTCTGCAATAAATGTAAAAAATATTCAAGGTGTCATTATTTGGCCTAGCAATACACTATGAGAAAAAGAAATACTAGCATATCACAGCTTCTTGGTCATATGACATTTGCTTTATATAACCAGCAGCTTTTTTTTTTTTTTTTAAAGCTGTCCTATCCTAACACATCCATTGCAAGTAATACACAGCTATGATATAAAACCATTTGAGATTATGCTTTGGAGAATAGCAACGTGATACGACTGTTCAGTTTTGTTTCATTTTGTTTTGTTTAAGGAGAATTAATTACCTGCTTTTTAATCATTATTTCATGAAACAGTAACAGATTAGAAAATAGATGTTCCAAAAGTAGAATAACACTAGTCTGGGGGTAGAAATCCAAAGCAATACTGTTAAGTTACTCTCCCCAAAATTAATAATCTACTAATAAACCCTTGTGTGACACAGAACTTATTCTTCCTTAAGAACAATACAAAAGCATATGCCATAATTCAATTCACAGTTACAATTTCACACTATATTTTACCTGTTTAATTTTGTAATGGTATTCAGAAATACTAACTAAAAAGATACTAAAATCTGGTTTCAAAATTTCCTTTTAACAGTGGAGCTGAGAGTTTCTGTACTAGAAATTGCTTTTGCAGTTTCATCCTAAAAACACAAAGATGAATTACATAGTACTCAATTTTAAGTGATTTTTAAAAATACACAGTAAAAGTGTTGTAGAGCTAAAAAAAAAAAAAAAAACCCAGCTAAGCAACACTCTCAATGCATTTTAAAAAGGCACCAATATAAACTTTTTAAAAAAGGGTTAAATACACTTAAGTTCAAGATTTTAAGAGACCAGTTACTGTATATTTTAATTATCTTGCAGAAACTGGAAGGATTAAAACTATTTCTAAAATAACTTGTATATACAAACTTCAATTTCACCCCTCACTTTTTTTTCTTTTGGAGTTGGAGAATTTTCTGCTGTAGAATAATCATACAAATAGTACTTATTTAAATAATACATAAAATACAACTTAAGAAAATCACAAATCACTTTTTAAAAATGAACAGTTGAAAATATTAGAGTTAGTACCTCTTACAGTCTTATGTTCTGTGTTGAGGGGGATACAATTTTTGTTTGTATTTTTATAGCCTCTTCTGCTCTTTTTCTACACTATCATTTTGGAGATAGGATAAAATAAGGTTTAGAAAATATTTAAAACATAATTTTCATCTTAATGCCTTCTCTGAGGTAAATTTTGGTAAACATTTACAAAACATAAAGACTTCATGCTCTTGTGAGGTGTGTAGCTGAAATACAAAAAGTATAAATAAAGCTCACGAAAATTTCTTTCTCTTTTTGCCAACTAGTTTGCTGAATTTCTTTCTGTGTTTCTTTCCTGCTCAAAAAAGAATTTTGCAGTTAAGTTTTTATCAGTTGGCTTAAAATCTTTCATTTTCATTTTGCTCTGGAAATAAAGAGCCAAGATTTAAGTTTAATAATTGTCATCAGTCTTAACGATACACTAGTAACTTCCTTAGTATTTCTTACTACAATGTGGAAAGTAAATCCAACTATAAATTTAACTCTCTGTTCCTGTAACACATCTGATAACTCTGATTGATTCTTTTCATGAATTTTCTTTAAAAGACTGTGATACACATGTACACACTGTGACTCATACATACAACTGCCATATGTACATAGGACAGATGCTTCCTGCTTTGTCTCCAATCAGAACTCACTGCTTTCATTCTCCTATTTTTTTTCCCTCCAGAAAATTCTTAATGGAATGTTTCAACACTTCAAATCTCTTTCTTCCAATCTGCATCCTCCCTGGACACTTTCACTATTTAAAAAATCATGTTTAGAATGGCTTTTAAAGATTCTTCATTATCACAGAGAGGCAGCATACTTCTCCAAAAAGAACTGGAGATAAAAAAATCTGGGCAAAATTAGGGCAAAGCAATGTGATGAATTTCTGAATTTTTGCCAAACTGGAAACTACAGAGGATAACCCATTTTTATGCCCCTCAAATACTCTCTCTACTGTGAAAGCTCATCTAAATAAACTGGGCATACAACTGTTATGTAAAGCTTGATTTATTTGGTGCCTGACCCTCATACTTATTTATAGGAGCTACCACGCTGCATACTTCCTTTTGTGAAGAAGCATGCAAATATAGCCATCCAGAGCTTTTTACAAATCACTATGTCCACAAAAATTCTTTCTAACCTACAAATGTGAACTGACCTTGTCCTCATTTGTCCCTGGCACACCCTGCCCCACCAAGTCTTTCTGTTCCTCATACCATGAAGCCAAGAAAATATAGCTATATCCTTATAAATACATCCTCACCATCTATGAACTCCCTTCAGTAAACTAAGTTGCTCAACACGATGAAGTCAGAAAAGGACAGCGCATCAGTACTGTCTTCACAGAGGACCACACAGCTCTTCAGATCCACCTGAACTCAGTCTCACTGCAGGATAGTAGGCCTGTGATAAACTGTATGCTGGAGTGGGAGGGAAAAAAAAAGAGGAAAACCATCCATTGATGGTGCCAGTGGAAATTCATGCATATTCACACATGGCCAAAATTATGAATATATTGATTAGCATCCAAATGCTTCCATAAAAAAAACTGCAGCAAAACACAAGATCAGGAGCTCAGAATGATTTACCTCATCCAAGAGGAAAGAAAGAAATGTCATTTCAATTACAATTTGGGAGGGATTAGAGTAAGTAGGTAGAGGTGAGGAAGTCTCAAACAGATGCTTTCTCTTTGAATAAACTGTGAGTGTGTAATGTGCTAAGGCATGCAGGAAAAACTAACAGTGGACATTTTATACATTTTTGTTTGGTGTGTTCTCTTGGATGTAAAGAAACAGTTTGGACATTTCTCCAAAAATAATCATGATAGGGACTAGTAAGAGAGCGCTGATTCCTAACTATTTTTACTTCATTCTAGCTGTGTTAGTGCTTAGCAGTTGCTTCAATAAGCAAATGGTAAACCAGAAAAATGAATTAAGAGCAGTACTGGGGCCAACTTGCTTATCTGTCCATGGGTCTCTAGACTTGATACTTCTCATATCATGCTCCACAAACAGCTTCTGATCTTATTTAATGATTTTTAGAGCAGTTATTAATTACTACTTAATAGAATTCAATAGTCACAAGTGGCTATCAAACAATCCAGTCATGTTTTTTCAAAACACAAGCAGCAAGTTCTACCTTAGAAGCGTGCCCCGCCTAACGACTTGAGAATCGGTATCGCTTGGTTCCTCCCTTGCAATGTTGCTGGACTGCACAGAATAAGAGCACCCACATGAAGGGAATTAAAATCTACACAGGAAATATGAAAACATGTCATGTCTGAATTAAAAGATGGCAAATTCTATACTAAGACACTGAAATTCATTTATGAGAAGGACCTATACAGTCAAATGTTGTTGAAATATGAAAATGTGCAGGACCTCTGCTTAAAGGTTCTGTCACATTTTAGACTCCAAAACAGTAAGAGCAAACTCTGTTGTTGCTTTCTCTGATCAGTAGTCCACAGTACAGTTTACGAAGAAGTTCCCTTTTCTCTGCAGCAATAGTAGTAAATATTACTCAAGAAATACTAGAATAAATAGCCCTAGTTCAACAATCTTACAGGGTGTAAGTTACCACATTCAGGTCAAATTAGCAATTGCTCTGAGGATATTGTGAAAGAAGTAGCGCCTAGCAAGACCTTTAAGACCTTCTACTCCAACAGTACAAGAGGAATGGACTATGGACAGAACACTGAGTGGTCACAGCTTGAAACAAACAGTGAAAAGAGAATACCAGAAAATGGATTTCTAAGTGAAGTTTTCCCCTACTGTTAACCTAATTTTATACATATATATATACTTTTTTTTTTTGCTGACTGATTAATACTGATTCAATGTGGATAAAATGACAATCATAAGCATACTTTTTGAAACAAGGATGTATACTATGCTGCCATCTCATTATAACATCAAAAAAAATTCCCAAACAAATTTATGAAAAGTAGAAGTCCCTCCTGGAAATTACTGACTGCCTGCTATCCACTCTTAGACCATATGTTATTCAGAAAACTACATAAAAATACCATTTGTTAAAGGTGTTAAAAGTAAGGCTGCCAGGGTATCTATAAAATGCCAGTCATCAAAACTATGGAAAAACAGTGCTTAAGTTTAGAAAAATAAGATCAAAGGACCTCAGATGTATTATAGTGGTCCTTAACCTCCTGTAGTTTAAAAGTTTTGCTATATGGTACAGTGTAAAACATACTGAATTATAAATTCCATAGGGGAAGTAAACATAGAACCCACAACAACTCAATTCATCCTAGGAGTTAAATAACAATGTGTTTGTATTCCATGATCTCTAAGAACAAAAAACTGGTTTACATTTTGAAGCAAGTTCTTCTCTGAAGAGTAAAATTACTTATACCACTTTAAATTGCCAAAGTCCTACCCAGATAACTCTAAATTCCTGCCTTCAACCATAATCCTGAACATCAGTGGCAAATTAGAGTATTTCAGGTGAATCTATATGAATCAAGTGATTTTGCAAACCATGATATGCTTTACACTTGTGTGTGGTAGAAATGAACTGCTTTAAATTCCCACAAAATAAAACAAGCCAAGTTATCAGGAAACAATATCCCCATCCCCTCTCTTCTGTTTCTTCTTTATCGTAATTAGGTAGAGCAAATGACACTATGTCCCCAGAATAAGAACTGACAGTAATAATATTTAAAAAAAAACGTTGCCAACATCCGAGGGATGGTGGGATTGTAAGTGCAGTATTTCTTCATGTGCAGTTCTTTACTTCATAGGGGTCCCCTTTGGAATGAAAAGGCCTAGTGGAATGTGTGCTCCCCTCGAACAATGTGTGATGAAAACTCGTAACGGTCCTGGCTTCTATAGCCACAGATGTTGCATTCCAGTGGGTCCCGGTAGCCATGGCAACCCATGTGAATGGTGTACATGACATGGTCTAGGAAAAGGACTCGGCAGTGCTCGCATTTGAAGGCCCTTATCTGTTCTCCTTCTCCATTGAAAACCTTATAGATGTCTTTCAGAGAGCCCTTGGGAGCCTTGGTGGTATCCAAGGCCTTGACATCCTCCTTCATGTAAGCTGGGCTTTGTTTCCTCTTGGGATTTAAGGCAGGGTTTCCTTGGTAGGACTGGTGGTCATCATGGCTGCTTTCTGAGTCAGTAGAATCCAGGCAGCTATTGCTGGGAGAGGCTTCTCTTTCCTGGGGTCGACTCTTTGGTCTGATGAGAGAGATGGGGCCATCCACGTTGTTTTCATGACTATCAGAGGTTTCCCTGCTGATGGGTCTTTCTATCCTATTTGGATGATAGACCTGAGAATAAGCTGAGCTTATAACTGGGGCCACCTCAGCGATTGTGCTTGGCGGGTGCTGCATCAGAGGGTGAAGGGCCTCAGCTCCAAGGTAGGTGATTGCATTGTTGATGGCTTGGTCCATCATGTGAGACTGCATCAGCTCAGCCTCCTTCTCATATGTTAAGTTCATATCAAAGTGAATATCTGGGTAGCTGAATCGCATGAGCTTTTCCCCTGAGAGAGGGAGAGGAAAGAAAAAGGAAAAAAAATACAACGAAATTATGGCTTGATTAAAAACATAAAAAAGTAGAAAGTTAACATCATTTCCATTTTTCCACATCATGTAGTATACATCATACTTTCCAGGTCAAGTATTTGAACTCTTTAATTGTGCTGAGACTCGCAGACCCTCTGTGATACACTGTGGTCGTAAGCCAAACTGGTTACCGGGAAATGGGGATCCACAGAACTGCACTCTAGAAAAGTACACTCTGGTATTCAGTGTTAGTTCAATTCTAACTGCTCCAAAGACAGGGTAATGAAGGGAATAATACACAACTGAAAGTGAAAATGATGAGAAATTATTTCACAACATCTGCTTCAAATATTGCCACTCAGCAGTTTCAAAGTCAAGAGAGAGAAATCTGATCCATCCATAGTCTCAAAGACTTTACAGTTCAGAGGGAATTGTAACAATTTAAGGATCATTTGTAATACAGCTTGCTATAGGCTATGGAGTCAAATAGGAAAGTTTGTTCCACACTAGGCAGTAAAGGAAGACCCCTTGAAGGAAGAGGAGGTGGCATCAGGAATTAGAATGTGCTGTTAAACACTGCCAGATAAAGAAATGTGAAGGTGGAGGTGAAGGCACGAAGGCTGAGAGGCGAAATGGTGCAGACTTTCAAAAAAGTTGCTTATATTTCAAAATGGCTGAGAATGGGAACAGGCGAGACTGATGGAATCAAATTTCAACCTGAGTGCATTAGGAATGAAAATGGCTAAACAGAGAAGGGGCCTAATTAGATAAACATTTAACAAGAGGATCTGGGAAGTTGCTGTATCATTCATGGTGACTGAATTGGTCAGGAAAAATGGAGAAGTCACTAGACTGGAGAAAAACGTAGAAAATACAGTGGTTGGGGCTTGCTTCTTATCTAGATAGAGACATTGAAAATGCAAACCAAGCACGAAGCCCAGTTTTCTGGCCTGGGAAACTTAGTGGATGACAGTAACATAGAAGAGATGATAAACTCAGTTTGGGGAGCACTATGAGTGACAGTCATGTCCAGAAGGTCCCTAGATATAGTATCAAATGCAGGAGAGAGGTCTGGGTTTGAGATATGAGAGCCATCAGTTGATACAGGGCAACTTCTGAAGCCTGGGAGTGGGTGCTATCACTCAGGAGTAGATAAATCGTGTAAAAGGAGGGTAAAATAGAACTTGCAAAACATTTTTTATGTTAAACCAAAGACAAAACAGCCAAATGGGATTCTTGTCTTGGGCCTTGCTCCTCATACAATAAGCAATGTGTAAGGCCAAAGCAATGCGTCTATCTGGCACACGGCACAGATCACAGTCTGGGTAATGAGATCCCAGAATTCTTCCACCCAGCAGCTGTGAGTATACTTTCTGTCTCTCTACAGTCCTCTTCACGGGGTCCAATGTGCAATGTAAAAAGAACCTGGAGGTGCAGGCATGAGCGTCCACACGTGTGTATGCGGCACCTTTTAGTGATGAGCAGATATAAGCATGGGTCTAGGACAGGGCCTAGCTCTAGGCCAGAGTTGGTTCTGTTCATGCAGCCAAGGTCTGGTGGGGAGCGCCAAGGAATCTGGGAATTCTTTATTTATTTGAATTTAGCCTTCAAAATTAGGTGGGCAGAACATGTTTTCTTGGCTTGATTTATAGTACTAAAATATTTAAGCATATGAATGGAGGTGAGCTACTTAGTGTACAGAGCAGATTCATAAAGAAGAATGAGAAGGAGTAAGCAAAGAAGCTGGAGGAAATCAGAGGAGTTCAGTGTCATAGGAACCAAGGGAAGAGTATGTTTCACAAGGAACTCACTATCCAGTGGTGGCAAGGGCTATACAGGAGCCGACTAAGACACAGTCTAAAGAGGACCCACTGGAGTGGGCACTACAGATGCAAGCTGTGGCGGCCATGCGGACACTTTTCGTGTAGGACCAAGAAGAGTGCCAGGGTGCATGGGCTAGCATATGAACAGCAAGGAAGAAAGATCATTGACAGTAAGTTCAGAAAATTAAACAACTTCAACTTCAGAGAGGAGAAAGTTGTAGCTGGAAGAAACTTAGGTTTCAGTAAAGTTTTTTGCTTTTTTTGTCCAATCATGATACTTTATCACATTAATGCTGACAGGCAAATGAGGGCAAGGAAAAAAATGCAGTGTGAGGCCTTCGGGGGACCAGGATAGAATTCCAGAGCACAAAAGGAGGAACTCACCTTACTCAGAAAGAGGCACACTACTTCATTGAAATGAGGGAATAAAAGGTATTATGTAGATGCACATCATTTTATAGAGTTGACAATATTAAACTGAAATCATTTCAACTAACTTAGAGTAAGAGAGAGGATGGTTCAGGGTTATACAAGAGCAATTTTGTCAGGTAGTATGGATGGGCCAGCTGCCATTTAAAGTGAGTTATTCATTTATCTATATTGACATTCCAATCAATCAATCTTTTGAGTCAGGGTCTCACTGTGTAGTTCAGACTGGCCTTGAACTCACTATGTAGCCCGGGCTAGCCTCGAACTCAGCCTCCTGAGTGCTGGGATTACAGGCATGCACCACCACACCCAGATGACAGCACTGTATGAGACTGTGGCATTTTCTCCAAATGTGCTAGCAGCTGAGATGTAAATATTGAAAAGATGTGTGGTCAGCTCCACGCAAGTGTATGTTTTCACCAAGAGAGAGTGGTAGGAACACAAGGCAAGTGAACGTTGGCAAAACTGGTGAAAGTGATGAGGAATAAAATCTAAACTGGACAAAGAAGGGAGGGATAGACAAGGAGACAGGCATAAACTTCAGACATCACCGGTCTGGAGAGCTTGAGAAAGTCAAAGTGCAATTACGTAACTGAGGGACATGGTGCAAAGGAAGTTATGTGAAGCGTGGAGTGATACAAATTTTCACTGCAAGAGCAAACACAGAAGTAGTTCCTGTAGCTACTATTTGCTATATATTACTAGGAGAGAGTCTACATAAAGAAAGAATGCTCCAATTCTTAATAAAACATCAAATGTTATTTCAGAACTATACTATAATTTTTCAATCTAAAAAAAATCTTTGTCCAGGGAATATAATCAAATCAAGTTGAGAGTAACTTCTCTAAGTTAGAGGAAACATGACAGAAATGTTTCAAGGAATAGACTAGATAAATTAATAAGACAAAATTATTAAAAATTTCCTGTTTTTCAAACTATGCTATTGTCTAGTTAAATACAAGCATCTAGTTACCTCCAACTAATCAATTTTAAAAATTAATGAACTGGCTTCTCTCCTCTTTTTGTCATATTTACAAAAAAAAAAAAAAAAAGAAAGAAAGAAAGGAAGAGGAACAGTAATAAAAGTTACCAAGGTAGACCTCTGAACATAATCTCATGATTTTTACTGTTCTAGCACAAACTACGACCCTCAAGAGTTAGTTACCAGTTAGCGCTCTTTCAGTGAAACCATCAAGATGTCCTACAGTGCTCTGACATCAGGTAATAGTTTTATGTCATTTATTTTTATCTTGTATTAAATCTGCAAGACTAGATATACTACATAAACAATGAATGACAGTTACTTTAACAATTCTTTCTATTGAATTTCTACTACTCATACAGTTTTTTAAAATGGGTAACTTTTGAATCCTCTGAGACACTCTATGACTAAAAGAATGCACCAAAAGGAATACCAATCCTGGGTGCATAAAGTAATACTGAAGAGATTGGAGATGGAAAAGTACTCTAAATATTTGATATTTCATCTTTTCTGTTGTCATACCTGGGAACACAAAGCTGAAAGTAGAAAATACAGATCCATATATGAAAACATCTTGAATTTTTCTAATGCAGAATTTGGGAAAAATTAGAATGTCTCAGTGTTAAATCAAATAACAAAAGAATTAATATCATGTAGAGAAAATGGTAAAAAGCCTGGCACTAGTGCAAATTTAAAACATATTACAAAACTAGCCAATCGGGCTAGAGCAGTGGTGGAAAACTAACAGCACGCAGGCTGCAGCTGGCTGTTTGCTACTGAAAGCTCTAAAAGGATCACCACCGCCTCGCTGGACCACTCCTCTTATTAAGAATAATTACTTTAAAGTAACATTTTTACTAAATATCATTACATCTTAAGATGATGACTCACTACTACTAGCCTTCCCACGCATGTGCATGTTAAGTATGACACACAGGAATGTCAGAGGAGAAAACTGAGGAACATTTTTCATTATCTGAAATACACCATACGTATATTTCTAATATATAAGAACTTGCTTTTTTTTTCCAATTAAAATCACTTTGTAAAGAATCAAATGCATTTGCACGGCTTACCCACAAACTTTTGTGGAGTGGAGCTTTTACGTTTTCCCATATTCCCCGTGAGCTTCTCTATGACAGCAGGTCTCTCAAAAGGCACCATAGAAATATTGTTGTCCATAATAGGCTCTTGTTCCTTACAATCTTCCATAGGAGGTACTACATAAAACCATATAAAAAGGCACTCTGATAATTTCTTCAACATTTTGAAAGATACAGAGATAGATCTGCCATCTCAGTATGTGTTATAAAAACACAAGCTAGTTAGTTTGAATAAAAGCAAGTAGCAAGAATAACTTCTAGTGTGAAAAGTACTCTTTAATTTTATACACATCCATCCATCCTCTCTCTCCCTCTCCCTCTCTCTCTCTCTCTCTCTCTCTCTCTCTCTCTCTCTCTCTCTCTCAGTATTTGGTTTGGAGTATTTCTAGGATCAATGACAAACTGTTGTTACCATCGATGGATAAAAACATTCATCTGGCTTGTCATCTTCTTCCTCTGTCTTTTTAACATGGATTAAAATCAATTATACATTAAGGCTGCACTAGTTTCAAGGGTTTGAGCTTATTTTCTAAAATAATCTAAGTCCGTCACTTGTTAGAGAAAAACTTACCCAGACACTCAGAATAACAGCACAACATGTGACCATTTTCCTCCCTCCGTTTCCTTTACACTGTTGTATTTTCCTACAGCAGATTCTCTATTTGATGAACTGTTAGCTTATTGGCAACAGTTTAAATACCTGCACAGAGCAAGCTTCGTGAGGGAGATCCAATTCTGAACATGTCTATGCATAGCGCACTGTGGCAGCTTTATGATAGTAATTTATTTTAAAAAGAGCTCTTCAGGAGGATAAAAGAATCCATTTTCAAATCGGCATACTGGCTGACTAAACTACTGCCCTAATTCATTTGACATAACCCCTCCAACGCTGCTGTCTATTCATCCCATTTGTCTGTATTTCTATGCTGTAATATGTTAGCCCTGAGATATTAACACTACATACTGACATTTATAGTATAGACAAGGAACTTACGAAAGTTGCTTTGAGTAGAAATACTGTGCAAAGTGTGTTTAAATAAGAACAGGCGACATTTCAGACAGATCAGCGGATTAAAAGTATCATTCATAGAAAAGATTTCCTATCTTAGTCTCTCTCTACTTGGTCAGCATGCATTTTTAAATGATTTACTTCAACCCTTTCATTGTTACAAAACAGTCCCACTGTGCGAAACATAAAGCACTCTCATTTGTGAGGGGTCCAGCTGGTTATCGCTAAGAGTAACAGCACAAAGACAAAAGTGGAGAAAGCTGAGTACACAATTCAGGTGACCTATTTAATAAACAATATAGGTTGCTGATTTTGAAGAAATAAAAAACAGCATCAAGGCTGTTTTCCTAATTTGGACATGTTTAAAGAAATCAACATTCAGTCTATATTTTGGGTAACCTAGTGGAATGGTCAGACGATGTTAATGTATATATTTAACAAAAGACCCAGAAGCTGGAGCGGTACCCCAGTGGTAGACTACTTATCTAGCATGTATGAAGCCAGGGTTTCAAAAGACAAAGAGAGAACCTCTGGCTATGATTAGCAAAGAAAGCACCAATGACTGGATGTTAATTTGGAAAAAATATGTATTCCAAGTTGAGATTGAGCAACAAGGATGTGTCATTCTTTTTGCTGATATTCTTTAGATTGCCCGATGGACAAGACATATCCCAAGACATTATGTAATCTTTTAGCAACTAAAAAATTATTTAAAAGAAAAATGGCTCATTTAAAAGAAAATTCGAGGATGACTACAATATTCAGATGAAGGCAACCAGAGGAACAGAATGGCAGTAGAGGTGTGGTGGGAACATGCAGATGTAATGACATACAGACGAGGGAGAAGAATCTTATTGTGTGTTTTGGATAGGAGATTCATAATACTAACTACATTATTAAAATAACTATAAAACTATGAAGCAAATCTGTATGTGAACCAAAGGTGAAAATATATTGCCGATCTAGATCCAAGAAGAAAAAATGTGGTTGCTGTAAATTTTGCTTTTAGCAAAAGTAGTTAACAGGGTTTGCCCCAAAATTGAATACGTTAATTAGTTCTGAAATGAGTAGTCTAACACTTGGCAGTTCTGCTCTAAATCTCACCCTGAATTTTCATATTTGCACATATTTAACACTCAAAATGAAACCCAAGTGTGGGAACTGTCCCCCACCACATCCACCTCAACTCAGAGGATCATCTGTCTTTAGTTCAATGAAGTTTCTGTGAACTAAAAACAAAGACTTCGGCAGAGCCCTGAACTAAATTCTGCTTCACAGCCATTTAGATAAAACTCTCATTTTTTTCTCTACCACCTTCACAATAACTAACATATCACAGGTGCTAAGTACTATTTCAAGGCTTTGCATTTAATAATTCATTTATTCCTTTGAACAACCCATGAAACAGGTACCATTACTATTATTGTTATTATCTTCATTTTACAGATGGGGAAACAAAAGACCCAGAGATTTTTAAGTACTTTACTCAACGTTACATCTAGGGGATGTTACTACGAAGAAGTGTGGCTCCCTCAGTCTGGGGTCTTAACAGCTGTGAAATACTACTTTTTATTCATTTGTTTTGAACACCAATATTTTATAAGCTAGTTTGAAACACAAGGTCTGTCATTACATTTTCCTCCCAATTATGTAATCTGAATTTTTTGATCTCATGAATTTGGGTGCAGATCAACAAAACGTTTCTGAATATATATTTCTTAAGACGTGAAATGGATTCTCTAGATACCTACTATTTCAATTGCATTAATCACATGATAAGATGTTTATCCAGGTTTAAAATATCCCAATGTGCTAACTTCACTTTTTTGAGCATACTTTATGATCAAACATCTTCTTGGACCTTATCTGAAGTTATAACCAGGGTAAAAACACACTTCTTCTTGCATTATTTCCTCACAGTGATAAGCCATAAAGACAAGAGCCGTAATAAGATTCCCAACATAGCTTTGCTTTCTTAACAAACTATCCACTCAAAATACAAATTCCAGGAAGAAACAGACTGAAGGATCTAGCCTGGATCAGAGAAGCCAGGCAGGCAAAAAGTAGTGGTCTTCTATCTTGTCACAAATTTTCTCCATGTTGATAATGTAAATTAAAAAAAAAAAAAAAACTTTTCAGTTATTCTGAGTTATTTTTCTTGGTAGCATTTGGCAGCGCTGATACTTGGCCTGGCTTCTATGAAATCACTCTTCTGCAGTCTTACCGTGCTCTTTCTCATCTCATCGCCATGGTTTTGGTTTTCCCCTCATGGAGTGTTACTGAACTTCTGGATGTCTCACTCCATATTTATCCATACTGCCTTATGCTGTGGTTTAGATATGATTTGTTCCCCCAAAGATTCATGCACTGGAGGCTTGGTCTCTAACGTAGTGAAAGGAAGTGGGACCTTGTAGAAGGTGACTAGGTCACTGGACATAGCCCTTGTGAGGAGATTAATGCTGGTCTCACTTAGTGGGCTAGGTCAGTAATGGATTCTTCCCAGTAGTGCAGGTTATTACTTCAAAAAAAAACAGGCCTGACCCCTCTTTGTTCTTTTGCTTCTTCTCTTACTGTGCAACCCCTCTCTTGTACAGGATCCTACCATGTGCCACTATCTGCCACGAAGCCCTTACTGAAAGTCAATGAGGGCTCCTCTGAAACCATAAGCCAAAATAAACCTTTTATTTACAAAGTACCCAGCCTTGGGTATTTTGTTATAGCAACTCAAAATGGACTAAGACACCTTATTAAAATCAATTACTTCAGGCTACTATGTATAAAATGGAAGCTACAACACAGTCATTTCCTGTACAGACGTCTCTTAGGAGTTCAAGATCTGTATATTCAACTCTCTTCTACACAGTTTTACTTGGCTATCTCATAGGCACATCAAAGATGTGTTCAAAAATGGAAATCTCGGGGCTGGGGATATAGCTCAGAGTGTAAGCACCTGCCTGGAGAGCACAAGGTCATGAGTTTGATCCCTGATACTGCAAAAAAAAAGTGGAAATCTCCCTTTTCCTCCCCCAATTCTTTCATATGTCCATAATTCCCACCTTAATGAAAACACTATTCAGTACTCTAACATGCATGCTAGATACTTGTGGCAAATCCTGGATTTCTTCCCATTAATTTCCTACATGTCCTCCCTACCACATCTCCTTACAAACATACATGGAGGTATCCCATCGTTTAGAGTCTATATGTGTAGTTACACTGAGTAACCTAACTTTTCTATATATTCCAGGGTACTGAGCCCACCGTGACTACTGTATTAGCCTCCTAACTTGTCTGCTTGTTTCTGAATTCTTCTGTATCCCACATTGTTACTAACAAAATGTAGGCATAATCCTGCTTTTATTCTTAAGTATCACATTCTCTGCCTAACATCTAGGCCCTTGATATCCTGTCCAGACGCTTTTCCTACAGCTTTATCACCTTCTCTTGTCCTGACAAACTGGGCCCCAATAGTATGAATCTAACTGTAGGTTCTTAATCTTCCATCCTCATTTAGATATCATTTTTTCACATACACTGTTCTGAATAAAATATCATTCTCCACTTAGTAGCTTGTTATTTTTACCTTTCAAAATTCAGCTCAAACCTAACATTCCCTGGAAATTCATCTTGGACACCCAGTCTGACTTAGCATGTTGGATGTGCCTCCTAAGCCCCAAGAGTCCTTATAAACACCCTTAACGATTGTACTACATTCGGTCTGTTGTCTCTATTATCTTGTACAGAATGAGAAAAATGGGATAGATAATGGATGGATAGTGCACAGCTTAATGAAGGAGATGATGCTACCCAATGGAAATTCGCAACAAAAGCTACCTAGAAAGCTGCAGGGTCCCACTTATACCTCGAAGGCTGTGAGAAAGAACTCTCCACTTTCCCAAATAATTGAAGGCAAAAACCTAAGAATACCTAGTAGCTTTGAAGTTGGCCATCTTAATGGTTCATATTTTCATTTTTACCTTCGGGCAAGGAGGAAAAGGTAATTACATAGTTTTGCTTTGAAAGCTTTTTTCTTCAACCTGAATAGACTCGAAAAATGAGCATAAAGATAACATTCAAATAGGATAAATAATGTGCCATAAAATCATTTCATTGTTATCTTTATTTCTGAAACTAAAAGTCATAAAATTCATTCCTTTTCCTCAAACTCAAACAACGCTCAAGAACTTTTTACCACCTTCAAAATACGTCTTCAGAGTTCCAACTTGCTCTCCTGTTCTATTACAGTCCTTTCATCTTCCCTTGGCATTACCACTTCTAACCTCTGCTCACACCCACCCTCATCCCGGGCAGACACCACCTCTACATTCTACACTGCTGATGTTTTCCTTTACAAGGCATAAACCTGAGTATTCAGTAGCTGAAATTCATAAGCTGGATTTGCATAAAAAGCTCTGCTTCTGCATCATAACCTACTTCAGTCTTACTGCCTGCCACTCCCCCAACTCCAATGATGTGCAGTGTCAAGGAATCTGTTACGGTCTTGCAGATCGTCAAGCCTCTTTATGCATGGAAACCATGTCCCTGTGTTCTGTCAGATGTCTGCAATTTTTACTCATTTCTCATGTTCAGATCAAACACTGCTGCATGTAAGAAGCATTCCTTGATTTCTCCATTAGGTCAGCCCTTCATCTGCACTCCTGGAGAATCGGGGACACATCTTTATTACAACTTTAAAATGGATTTCCTACAACCATATAAAGATTTGAAAGAAACTCCATCTACTTATCTTCATATCCCCAAAATGTTCGATGGAATCTGGCAAATAGGAAGCCTTGGACAAATGCTGTCTGAGTGAATGGAAAGAATGCCCCCTTTCCTTCAGATACTTCCTCAGCAGGAAAGGCAATATGGGGACAACAAACATGCTTTGGAAAAGAGAAGCTAGGAAACATAGTGATGTGAGATAGGAAGAAAAACTGATCAGCTACACCGATGGCAACCCTCAGTCCTAACACTAAAAGCAGAGAACAGAAATAGAGAAGATAAAGGGAAAACATGCATGTCGCTGTGACAGTGTTCTAAAGGAGACACTGCCAAGCTCTGCAGAGAGACACGATTCATGATGAAATCTGGCAGCATTTTCCCATAGTGTGTTCTCTTTCGGCATTTATCAACTCTCCTATCTCATACGGCCAATTCCATGTTAATAAAAGGAAAAGGAGATTAATGATATTCTCAACTCTTTATTACAACCAATCTAGAAATGTGTAGTATGAAATGGACTCAATATGCTGGTTACTGGGGTTAAAACAATATGCAGTATTTAGGAAAAAATATTCAAGTCTACAAATGATATCAAATCTACCCGCATTCCCCACTCCTGGACTTTGGTCTGTGGTCCCTCCAGTGTCCCCTCTTGTCCATTTGTCCCCCCTCTATCCCAGCTCCAGCACCCCCGGTAAAGGACTGAGTCATGGCTACACAATCTGAGAAAAGGGGGCTAATGCTGGACCCCAGGTGTTTAAGTAAATGTCCTTTTCTTTCTTCAAAGAATTTTTTGTCATTGTTTTTCATCAACACTAAACCAAAAAATCATCAACATAGCTTGTATATGTATTCCAATCAAATGTCAGGACTGCAATGGGAAAACACTGTGTGGAAAAGTGTGTGGTGATGACAGAAATTTTCTGCGAAGCTTTCACAAGCGCCTAAACCTCCATCAGCTCCCTGCATCAAGCCCCCCTTAAAACAAGTAATATACCTGAAACGGTGTTCTACGTAGGCCAAGAAAACCTCTAATGTGAACACTGGTAAGTTTCAACTTTACAGGGAATGGCATTTATTGTTTCTTAGTACTTACTGCCCTGAAAAATAACAGTAAAAAGCCCTACTTCGTGGGTATTTATTGTATGTCCAACCACATTTCATTCTCCTGAAGAACACACTTAGACACCATACATCCAGACCTGGTTTACTGGACTCCACGGCCCACCATTTAATAACCTCTAGCTACCTGTACAAGCCCAGGTCATATGAGCTTCCAATATCAAATTTACTAAGAGCTGAAATACAGCTTTATACAAATTGTTAGTTAATAATAGTGTTAACAATTAATGGACTCAGTCAAAAATGAATGGAATAGAACCTGTTCTCAAAACAAGAAAATGCTTATTTAGGAAAACAGTAAATATTTTTAAATTTTAAAGATTTCCAACTCAACTACAAATAATCAGTAACTCCCTGGTAAACACAGTCCCATAGTATGTACCATACAAAACAAAACTATCAATGATTGTTCTTGAGCTGGATATGTATAAGTTAATAAATGTACTTTAAAAATGAGTATGTGAATATACTTTAAAAATGAGTAAACCATCTCATTTAATATTGGTCAAATTATGTTTACATGAGGAATGTGAATACATTAATAAGTTAAAATTTTGTGGGTATTTGGGTAAAAAAAATAAAATCAGTCCTTATAGAACTATAATTAGTAAAACAACATAGACATTACAATGTAAACTACTGACATTCATTACTTTCCTTTGTAACAGCTGAAACTACAGGTAACTTTTTAGGAATTGAGAATTATTATACAAATTATATTTATATATAATCATATAATATATATTATTATAGCGCCTGCCACAGCGTACAGCATTGTGGAAATCAGGGTGTCTTGCTTTGAGAGTATTTTTTATGGAGAGAGATGGTATCTAATTTTGGTCTATACTATTACTGACATGCGTAGAAAGCAAAGTAACAAATTTCCCAGAAAACCTATGGAATAGACTGGAGAAATGTCAAAGTATATTACCGAACACTTACTAATACACAAGAAATAACGTGAACAACTAATTCAACAGGCTTGTATGGAACTGTCCATAACATCTGGTTAGGGAAGTACCAGAGAAGCGTAAATATTACCTTCCTTTGGCATATTAGTGGCCAGCTGCCATTATCCATTATTAGGTCAATTCTGGCACATGTTATCAGGAATAGTTTGATTGCAATGTTTCCTAAAACTCAGTTTATTTTAAGTGCTTAAAAAGATAATGTCATATGAAGTTAACATGATCTAAAAGTGTTTGAAACGAAGACCTTTATCTTCCTTTAAAGTGGGGAAGGGAACTGTTAGTCCATAAAAACTACAAAAGCAGTACAGGAGAAAATTAAACTCGCGAACACTGCTTCTACCCACCATGGTGACTCATGACCTGCCCGGCAGCCTCCATGCCTACATTCTGGAGATAGTTGTGGCAGCGTTCCTTGTGCTCCTCCAGTGAACTGCGCTGCTTGTAGCTCCGTCCACAGTAGTTGCACTTGTGAGGTTTACCCACTGCAAAGAGAACGCAAGGTTAGGGTGCTATCAGTCTCTTACACCTCCCCCCCAAGATTAACAGGTAGCTCTTCACAGGCTGGACGAAGCACTGTATGCTTTTTAGACTTAAATCTCTTCCTCTTGTACATTCCAGTCTCGGCAAGCAAAGATAATAAATATGAATGAAGACTAAAATGCAGCAAGAAGATGGGGCAGATCGCACCTCATACCTCAGGTGACGGGAAATATTGACTAAAATGCATGCTCTGAGTGTATTCTGACCTAGAGGGGCTGATGATCAATGTTTAAGTTATGTGACTCTTAGCATGACTCTTACTCAATTATGTCAGCTTTGACTCATTCAAAAGGCAAATCAGGAGCATCCTAGATACATGATGACTTGTGGGTTATTTTTTTTTTTTTTAAGTTTTTGGTTCTGTTTATGGTAAGGCAGGGAATTTTTCTCCTGAAAAAAAAAAAAAAAGCTAAAGTGCAACAACTTGAGATGTCATTGTCTAAATAGCAGGGGATTATTCATGAGTACCAAGAAAAGTAAAAAGAATTGAAGTGGTGAGAAAATGGTACAAATGAAAGTAGAGAGTTTCTCTTTTCTTTCTGCCATGGCAATAACTGTTCACACACGCAAACCTTTAAAGCAGACAATATATTCCCCTCATCAGCACTACTTTTATAAGATGAAGAATTAGCCTACTTGGTGCTTTGAATCAGGGTTATTGAGTCCTAACATGCTTAGTTGGAATGACACTGATATTTTCCAAAACATCTTACATTCAGGAAATGAATTTTTCTCTAATAGCCATGGATCCATTATCTCAGGTCTATTAAAAAAGGTACTGTAATAGTCCTGTAGAAACTTTAAATATTGATTAAAAAGAAAAAAAACCCCTCATTTAAATAGGCATATTTTAATATAGGATTGCTCATAAGGATTCCACCAAGCACTGTGATTCTTGTTTTAAACAGATACAGGGCAACAAAAATCATCTGTGCCAAAGCCCTCAGTCAGAAAGCACAGTGTAAATCAGGCCAGTGTCTCTCACTGGACTCCCAGCAGACTCATCTAGCTTTGCCCAGAGGACAAACAGACAACTCTTTTTCATGACTGAAGATAGCATCCTTAACTCCAGTCACCTTACAAACCAAGGGGTGACACTGGTCACAAGAGAAACTCGGATACTGTGACAAGAAAAAGTATTCAAGGCTCCCTAAAAGTTTCACTGCTCTGATGAAAAAAACCTTAGGTTAGATCTGAGGTACACATAAATTAAAATTAGTTATTTCACAATCTTATTTTTATAAACATCTTAAAAACTATTCAAAGTATGATCAACTATTTAAAAAGGCTAAGTAATTATTTTTTAGAACCACAGATTTCTGAGACATAGCTGTGAATACTGTTCAGGATTTGTATTATAACTATGTGAGAGTATCAAAAATGTAAGAAGATTATTTTTCATCCTAAGCAGTGCAAATAATATAATTTTATTTACATGTAACTATATTCCAAGTCATGGACCTAATTACAAAAACTCTTTTTGCTTCTAGCACTGTTACTTTCTAGAAATAGTGAGGAATTTACATCGAATAAGTCTACTAGCCAGATAATACTTACTAACCACTTACACTGTAGTCAGTATTCTACTGTAAAATAGTTCAGTCATCTCCCAGTCTCCCCTAGAGTTAGTCCTGTCACCGTTTCTGACAACACTGCTACACTGTGAATAAGCTCGCCTGCACCAGTGGTGGTGAACCTATGGCATGCATATTGTTTTTCTTTTAACACCAAAGATGTTAATGTATGAGCTGTTTTTTTTCTAAGCTAAATCCCCAGTTTCAGGTTTAATTGCAGCTCTGCCGACTTCTATAAGCAACTTTTATCCCTCCTCAACGAAACTGAAACATAGTTCTACTCTACCCTTGACTCCCAACCTCTTATCAAGTTCCAACTCACCTGATGAGGAAAAGACAACAGGACAATATATGCTTTACTGTACTCAAGTTCTTTTTTAAGTACCCTCATTTTTGAAGGCCATCCCATCTGTTGTGTCACGGATTTATTTTAAAACATTACCCCTTCCTCTTTATCCTACCCTTGTTCTCAGTGAATCCAACAGGAAGGGATCTGAATAATTATTTTAAAAGTATAACCACAGTTTCCTTACCTCTTCCTCTTCATTTTACTCCAACCCAACCAACCATTTTACTACAACAACCCAAACATGGAGGATTCTGGAAAGTAAATTTTCATGACACCTACTGTTAGGCAACTGACAGTCTAATGAGGAAGATGAGTACATAATAAATATACGGGCTGTGGTAGCTTCTACAAAGCAAAGGAACAGTATACTAGCATAGGATGGAGAGCCTATTTTAGTTTGAGAAGTTTGAACAAAAAGGTCTGTCGAGGTAGGCCACTTAGGTGATAAAGTAAAAGTAATTTGTCAGAAAATGTGGCTGTAGCTCATGCCTGTAATCCTAGCACTTGGGAGGCTGAGGCAGGAAGATCATTGTGAGTTCGAGACCAGCCTGGGCTACACAGTGAGCTCAAGGCTGGTCTGAACTGCATAGCGAGACCCTATCTCAAAGACACATGCACACACATACCAAACAAACAAAAAAATTTGGCTGGGGACTGGCGGAGTGCTAGAGGCAGTACATCAGAACTTCTGAAAACTGCCACCTATTTTCTTTCAAAGGTCACATTCTGCCATGAACTACTCTTTGAAGATTTTTTTTTCAAACATGAACAATCAAGCTTTGCCAGGTCCAATGACGCAACTATCCCCACAAAACCATTTCCTATCACTTCTTTGATATTATTTCTTAAAAATCAAGTTCATGAAGGTATTATTTCTAAGGAGTCTGCCAAAAATGTATATACGTGTCAGGAAAAGACAAATAATATGAGTTTTTAAATAACGGATGGCTGACCCCAGAATGATGTCACGTATCACAGAAAACCTACTACACTGCCGGCCCTTAGAGAAGGAATTGAAAATGCATGTGCAGCGATCTCGGTGACGAAGGTCACCCAAGCAGCAATCTGCTGTACTAATAAATGACTGGAAGGGAAGGGCCACCACTGTGAGCGCCTCTTGTAATGGCAGAGGCCAAAGGTAACGTGTTAATCTTATGATGTCACAATAAATTAGTATTAAAATATTTAAACAAATTTTTCTTTTTCTGAAGTATATATACTTTGTGGCAGACTATTTCCTTCATGTAAATGATGGATATATGATGTGTCAATTAAGTTTATGATTTCTAAATAAACATATTATAATTTAACATATACAAAATATTAACACAGAACAAATATTAATTTTATTTTTAAAAGTTACTATTACAGTCTCGACAATGGAAACACCACCATTCTGACATTATTGCTACAGTTAAAAGTCCATAGTCTCTGAACCTATAAATCCAGCGGACTTTAGCAATCCTAGATCTTCCCAAACTCTTGGTCATCACCGACTGTCCTGTGTCTTCACCTTCTTGTTCTGGTTTCTGGGAACAGATTCAGCGCTCACCCTCAATGGTTTCACAACCTCTTTGTGCATTCCAAATAAAAACATTCCTTCAGATTCTGTTCTCATGACAGCACTCTTCCCCTTTGCTCTCTGGGTTAACTGTTTATTTCTATGAAACATCACGTCATCTAGAGTAATCCCTCAATGTTTGTAAACTACTACCGGTCCTTCACGTCTGCTTTCTACAATTCCAGCATCTCTTCCATGTAATCAGAACAGCTTCCTACTCAGTGCTGTCCCAGTACTGTTCTCTCTCAGTTGCTGTTGTACTTGAGACAGACACACGATAATTATCCCTTTGATATCTATTCATTTTCCTATTCTAAACAAGGAACTGTAAACACTGAGATCATGTTTTACTCAGTTTTGAATTGATAATATTTCTGGCAGTTACTAAACATAGGAGACACTCAATATGTATTTATTGAACGGCTGTATTTCCAATTTATATTTCTTACTGTCAAGTATCACCTCATGGATATCCTCCCAAAATCAAATCTAACGTTCAAGGTATCCAAAAATATCTTCCTCCTCAAAACCTCCTCCTTGCCGCTGCTCTAACAATCTTGATTCACACCAATGCAGCCGCTGGGGCCTCTCATCCCTTTTCTTGCGCCTAAATAACTAAGTACTCAACTATTCAGTGTCTCTCAATTTTATCCCCTTTCATTTTCACAACCAGTATTCTAGCTCCAGCCCGCATTCTCACTAACCAGGGAGAGCACCCAGTATAAGGCATCAGCAGGATTTCCCTTCCTGTGTATAATTATTCAACTTCCCCGCTGATAACCTTCAATGAGGGCTCACTTCTATTGCATCCTCTTATTACTTTTCTTCTATGCACAAAACAATGTTTATGACATCAAGTCAGTTTATACACTGTGTTTTGCAACCTTATTTTATAGAAAAATATATCCTGAATAGTTCCCTGTCATGAAATATTTTTGTTTCTATTAGGTAAGTATTTCTCTGAGATTCTAGAACTATAGTTAATGTTGAATTACATACATTAGTTGGCATTCTTAGTCCTTGTCCTTCTCATTTAATGAGTTGTTTTAACCATGGATACAGATGTCCATACTTAGGAAAAAAAATAGTCTCTTTCGTTTAGTTTTGTTTTTTGGCTTTTTGGGACAGGGTCTCACTGTGTGGTTCAGGCTGGCCTTGAGCTCACAGTGAGCCTCTTGCCTCAGCCTCCCAGAACAAAACAGTCTTAAAGGGAATTTAGTGAAATGCAGACTCTCCTTTCAGTCTGGCACGCAACAGTGTAACTATACTCTGAAAAAGCAACCATTTTCAATGCCTTCTAGTTGAAATATCCTAATTTCTAAATAATTCTCAAATTTTTCTTTATTCATCAACTTTAAACATACTAGATTCCCTTTATGTCCTGATAATTAAGGATATAGTTCTCTTACAAACATCCTCTCAGTTCTGCTTTTCAACAGCTATACAATAATTTCTGAT